TTGAGATTTTTGAGATGAGGAAAAGTATTTTTAGTTTTAACATGAAAGTTCCTTTGTACATGGACTATTCAAAACAAATACTTAATATATTAATGGACAAATCTTTATTTTATTAAAAATACTTCACCAAAAATATGATTTTTTGCATGTGAAAGACTTGTAATATGAACTGAAAGACTGCCAGATTTCATGAAGATATACATACTATATTGAAAGTTAAGTATTGAATCTATAAAGACTTTAATCAGGTACAAAGAGGTCATGCAGTTGGTCAAATTGACCAAGCTTATGTTGAGAAAGTTAATAAAAAAATTGTTAATTTAAAAAGGGGGGGGGGGGGAATAGGAATCATCAAAAGTAGCATAGAAACAAGTTGAATCAAAATGCAAAGATTATGTATTCTAGTCTACAACTAGGGACTCTGAAAAAATTAAACAAACATGGGTGGAAATAGTGTCTGTATTAGTGAATCCAAAATAGGGACTTGTAGCCTGAGAAAATAATGTTTACTTTTTAGGGTTAAAAAAAAAAAGTCTATATATATTCCTGGACAAATTTTTAGAACAAATAACTAATTAAAAAACTGATTCTTTGTGTACCGACAACTTGTAATGTTTACTAAAAGTCTGCCAAATTTTGTGAAGAGATACACATACTGTATTACAAGTAATAGTATTAAAACTATATACAAGTAAAAATGGTCACGTGGTCAGTCCTTGGGAACGAGCCTCTTTGAGAGTTCATAACCAGCTCAATGCTAAATGTGCAGTGCACATACTGTACATACGTAGTCTAGTCTAGTTGGCTATACTGCAGACACCGACCGAGCGCATTCCAAACATCAATGAACAGACTAGTACAAAGTATGAAAATACTGTATGTGCCATTTGGAGATCTCGAAGACAAACACACAAGATAAAGGAATGATTCATATGTTATGCTGAGAAAAGAGGGAAGTGATTTGCAACTGGGGTTATTTTGATTTGCAAATTGCAATGTGAACCTGGATATTTTGCCCCCTGGAAGAACCAGTGGCCCTTTGAAAAAGTGATGCAATTCTTCAGTGCTTCCCTCATTCTGTAAACCCCCTCACTATTGCACCTGAGACTGGGCAGGATGAACCCAGCTAGTTGCCATAGTTAAAGCTGTTCTCCCTTATTAAAAATGATTGATAAAAAAGCTATTTTTGCTAACCATTTTTCAAAGAGAACTGGGACTGTTTTGTTGGAGAAATTTAACTTGTTACTTCAGATGCTTCCACTGCTGTAAACTAGTAAACATTTGTCTCAAGAGTAATATAAAAACAACAACATATGTTCAAACACTGTCTCATAAAGTAAATCAAGTTCAACAAAAGAAAATCATGAGATGGGAATAACCCATAAACTATTGAAAAGAATTGATAACAAGGGCTCATTATATAAAGATAAGAACAAGGGTATTAGAATGAACATTTATAATAATTTATTTAAAACTCCTATTATGTCATTAAAACTTCTGGAAATATCTTGCCTTCTTTTCTTAAAAACAGTGATTTGTATTTTTAATACAAATATTATAATTATGAGAAAAAATAAGGTATAAAAGTCGATAAAGCTGGAAGATACAAGTCAATATAAATATATAAAATAATTTTTAAACTTGTTGTTTTTAAAGTGAACCTTGTTGATCAAAACACAATCTGTAAGTTTCACAAACATACCCATGTATATTTAACAAGTATCAATCACTTTAACTGCATTAACTGGCATGCCCGAAAGAAAAGTTGTATGCTAATATAAGTACAGATATACATGTTTTCTTCATGTTTATATGTATGATTTATTAAACCAACACTTTCAAAAATCATTTGACAATTTTTCTTGTACCATTTACGAAAAGTATTTTGTTTGATGTCACATTACTACAAGATATTATAAACCAGCTACAACCTTCAACAAACTGCAGTTAAAAATGTTGTTAACTATAGTTCAAAATTACCATAGATCTGAGCTATATGACCTCCTCCCTTGACACGAACTCTTATGTCTACCCCAGAAAACCTTTCCTTCCCAAGTAGCAAAACTGGTTCTTGAAGCTAAGAAAAAAGAAAAAGTAAACTACTATAGAAATAAGCTATTTTGAACACAATTAAAACTACCGTTTCATCTAGTTTCAAACAAATATTACACCAATACTTTCATGTGTCCTCTTCAGTCCAAAATTTGGATTGAAGAGGACATGTGATAGTGTCAAAACTTTTATCCATATTTTAATGTGGATTTAAACTTTTAAATATTACACTTATGCATTTTTTTCAACAAAGATTAATACAGTTAGTTTAAGGACCTGGAACACAACCTACTATTCCAAACCAAAATCTTTAAAACAGATCTACTTGACTAAACTAATTAGAATTAACAGTGTTACAACCTTCTGACTTTCTATTTATTTAGAATAATGAATTTGAATTTTATTACTGTTTGTGACAACTACACAGTTGTTCCTACCTGCAAAATAAGAGCATTTCTTGGGAATTAAATCATTACTGAGTGTAATGGCAAGACCAAGGGTGTGCAATTTTAGAAAACACTTCTTGTCCGATGGACAAAGTGCTAGAAAAATCTACTTGCCCCCTTAGTCTCACAGAATACCCACACAAATCAAATGTAACTTTTAGGATTTAACTGTGCTCATCCAATTTACATAAGAAAGGTGCAAACATAAAAATAACAACATAGTAAAGAATGAAAATAACTGCACAATCAAATGAGCCCAAAAATATTTATTTGTAGAGCACTAAAAATAAAGTTTTGACCAGAAGACCTCCATCAGAAAATCCATCAGAATCAATTAATAATTTTGCTTCATGAAAACAAATAATACAAATTTAGTTCAGTCTAAAAATACTCGCAAAAAAAATGAGCACATCTAATTTTTGTGCATGACACATGGCAAAAGAAAGAATATTTTTTTCTTTTGTTGTTCATATTTAGTTTGCATTTACATACAATTTCTATATATTTTTTTGCTTTTGTGTAAATTGGTTTCTTTACCATAACTATATACAAGTTGCACGTTATCATTTACATAATTTACTTTAGAAACGAATTTTGCGAAATGTTGTACATTTCATTGTGATTCCCCCACCAGCCTTTGTTTTTATTTGTTCTTCTGCCCTTTCACTTATGTAATTTTATATGCTGGAATATATTCACATACCACATTATCAATATCTGCCTGTTTTCTTACATGTTCATTTATTATATACAGTACATCAATTTATATATTACCTCTCAAGCTATTTAGGTAGGGTATTTACTTTACATAGTAACATGGTTCATATTTACATTATTTGCAGAGATCTTGTTAATGCAGAATTCTGCATCATATACACAGGTAGTTTTAATAAAATGCAAATGTAACAAGACCTACTGGTTAAATTACCAAGCATTTGTTTATGCAATGCAATATGAGATATTCTACTGCTCTAAGCTTTCTGTAAAAAAAAAAAAAGAAAGGATGAGGGAGAGAAAACAGATGTATATATATTTAATTATGCCACACTTGCATGTTTTATTAATTTATAGGGAAAATGTCCAGGCTTTAAATGTTAATCTTTTTTCTGTTTTTTAAAAGATACATGTTCATCCTGTTATACCATTGTGAAATCTTCCATTTAAATAGTTTATATCATGAAAACGAGACGCAAGTTAATAAGCCCGTAAAATGTAGACAAACAGACAGTGAATATGAAAAGGCCCTTAATGCTAAATCTGTTTTAAATAATGATCAGCTTTGTAATAATGTTATATACAAAAAAAAAGTTAAACTTAGCATTCTATTTTGGATATTAATGATACATAACTGGCTGTATGTAGATGTATCTTCCTTTATCCAGGCATATTTATATTAACATTTAATATCTAACCTACCATCTCCTCATTCTTTTTTCCTTTAATTTTGTAGACCAATGTCGCGTACTGTCAGATTGTGGAAGCATTTCACTTTAGTTAAAAAGGATGGAAAAAAAGTGTAACCTGTGTAGATACTGCTCTCAGCAGTACATTAATACTGCTACTAAACAGTAAAATCATCTGACTAAACAAATCTTGAAACAAAGCAGACTTAATAATTACTAGTCAAACTCAAACATGCTACAGCATCCGGGTCCATCTTCTCTTACTGATGCACCCATCTACTTCAGCAACTCCATTTCTTGAAGGGAAAATTCTTCAATTAAGTGGATAACATGATGAAAGCTTGCCCATGCTATCTATGCATCAGGCTCACTCTCCATGCTAACATCAAATGTATACTGGAAAAGATTTCTGCCCCACATATTCTCTTCCAACTAGATATGCATTGGCTAACCATTTGTTGGAAGTAGAATTTATTCATCTTCTTGACAAATTAAATAACGCAATAAAAAATGCCGACTGCATAGCAGTGATTTCTGGAAGATGGCCAAATATACATGGTGAGGGTATCAACTATTTTGTTTCCACACCACAACCAGTTTTTCAAAAACACCAATACAAAAGATAAAGGGCATACCAGCAAGTACATTGCAGAGGAGCTGACAACCTTCATCAGACATCTTGGACTTAATAGTTTTTGCAGTTATGTTGGACAACACTGCAAACATGATGGCTGCTTGGGCCCTAGTTGAAGCTGTTTACCCTCACATTATACCAACTGGTTTTATAGCTCACAGTCTCATGTCTTCTTGTGGACATCATGGACTTACAAGCTATGCATACCCTATAGAAAAAAGGCTACAAAGGTGGGGAAATATGTCCTATCAGCCACTTTCAGTGCAAAGCAGAACAACAGAAAGAAAAGTATAACTTTCAAATTGTTCAGCAAAACAAAATGGCTTGCAGTTGAGTTCGGGTACAACAGCCTTATTTAAAGGTACAGAGTCCCTAAAAAGAGTTGGCTATTATTGAGTCATTGGAGATAGACACTGATATCAGAAGAATTCTGTTAGACAATGTATTTTGGGCTTGCATAGCAAGTAGCCTGAAGGTACTTGTTTCAATTGCATTTGCAATAGAAAAGATTGAAGGAGATGATGCACTGTTGTCTGATGTTCTTAGACTCTGCAGATATGTGGGAAAGAGTCACTTCTGTACTGCCAGCAACATCACTGCTGAAATCAGAAGAAAAAGCAGTCCTGGATTTCAGTCAGAAACGGTGAGTTTTGTATGAAACCGACTTGTATGGCAGTGAATATATTGGATTCAAAACAACATGGACAAGATGTTAATGGGAAGCAGATTAACAGTGCATATATTATGATAACCATTACAGTATATCACCATAATCCTACTGAAGGGAAAGTGCTTGTAAGTTAGCAAAGTGGAAGGAGCTGCAGCTTATCGTATTTCAGCAGCTACTTGGTGGAAGAGGCTATGTGGCTCAGAAGCTCTATCACTTCAATGATACTCCAAATACTACCAACATTAGCAGCCTCAGAGCAAAACTAGTTGCTGTTTGCCAACACACACCAACATACACAACAGGCTCATAAATGAAAAGTTTAAAAAAAAAACAACAAAAAAAAAAAACACAGTAGCAATCCAGTCAAACCTCAAATTGTTTGAGCCCAGTACAAATGTGTCCACTCAGTTTGAAGTTCACTCTGAGGTTAAAGAAGTGGTAATTGAAAGTTCATCTGAATCTGATTTGACTGTTTTAAAATTAAATAAACAAAAAGAGATCAAAATAATTTGAAATCAAGATTTAAAAATGTTTAAAGCTTGTTTCTACTTTCTTCTGAAACAACAATTACCCTCAGTACCCTGATCCAAGATCATTAATCTGTTCTTTATAAAACAAGAATTTCTAAAGTTCACAAATATTTCTGAAAATTCACAATATTCCTACAAAAGCCCATAAATTGCTGATGAAAATATACAGCTCTCAAAATTTCCAGGAATTTTGCAACCCTACTTAACATAGTTTTGAGATACTCCCAATATCCCACTGCATGTGTGTGATGTTCAGATGTTAATTGTTAGACTCTGTAGGTTGTTTGGTTTTTTAAGAGCAAAGCCACAAGAGGCTATCTATCTATTGTGTCCACGGCAGGGAATCAGCATTTTAGCATTGAAAGTATGTAAACTTACTGTTGTCCCAACAGGGTATATACTTGATGAATTATTGTTCATATGTTAACTGAAATTGTGTTAAATCAGAAACTGTTTTGATACAATACATAAAAAGTAGGCCTAAAAGTTTTTTTTAGAGAAGAAACATACGTTGAGCATTATCAAATGAAACAAGTTATCTATAGAACTAGCCATACAAGATTACCCACCTTGTACCTAAGAATCTGAGGTTCCAAAGTCTCCAATGGTCGTCCATTCACTTTGATAAGCCCAGTTCCACGTTTACAATATGCCACAGCTGTGGCTGTTTTCTGGTGAAAGAGAAAAAACAAAAATACTAGTTTAAAAAAGGATACATTTTTTTACAAATGTTTTAAACATAAAGCAATTTTAAGCAATAATGAAGATAATATTGTCAAACATTACAAAATACACTATAAAGGCTACTGTTAAAACTGAAACTCACTAACTCGATGACGAGGAACCCACTTTGAGACTAATAATGGTTGGAGACGGCTTGAATGGGTAACAAAGAAAAACTTTAATACAAGTTTAACATAACAGCAAATGTACCTGATGATGACAAAACCTTGTCCATTTGCTGTTATGTTAAACTTACGTTAAAATTTTTCTTCATTACCCACTCAAGCCATCTCCAACCATTATGAAACTCACTAAGACACCAGAAACTTGTTACAAAAAAGTTGATGAATCATATTTCATATTTAAAAACTAAGAAAGGGATGGATAAAAGCTGAATGTCTAGAATATTACAATATGAACAAGTGACAACAAAAATGTAATTTCTTGCTCCTTTTCAACTACCTGCCAGGTAGAGCTACATGTATACTAACTGATATACCTGCTGATTGCACAGGAAAAAAAAAGATATAGGATTTAGATACAAATACCAACCCCTCTAATGAAATGCAGTAATATGTGTATATATATAAATAATAAAAAAAAAACGAAATGTGAATGTTCCGTTTTCAATTGTTTCTTACAGCACTTATCAAACATCTGACATTCAAGAACCAGCAATAAATCCTAGGGCCAGGATAGTAGCTTAATCCAATGAAGGACAATAGAGTGGAGTCATACTTGCCTTGATAAAAAAAATGTTTTTACATGGTCCCCAATTTCAGACCCAGATTCACTAGACGAACAATAAGTTTGTCAAACTCTAGAGTTCCTTCTACAACTTTAACTTGTTTGCTAATCAAACTTAAATTGCTAATGTATGTTTATAACCAATAAAAAGCAGATTCTCCTCTAGATAAATCTTATGATTTTTTTATGTTTTGTGGCAAAAGACGGTACTTGAGAAATGCTCAACTTCTTTTGATCAAAGCCATTCTCCGCTGAGCAGTAACAGAATTTTAAACTATTTATAGCTTACTCATCCAGATAAATTATAATTTTGGGAGATTCTATTCTAGTGACTGATATATTTTTTGGTTCTAAAATGCATTTTTGAAAGCTATATAAATTCTTCGACATCCAAGACAGGATAAGGCCAACCTACTGAAACTGAAGAATGTTACTCCAGTGTAAAAGTGCCTTAAGTTTCAGAAAGTATTAACTACATAGAATTATACTTGGACATTCCTCTACATTAAAATACTTTTATTTGCAACCTTTCAGTCTTCTTACTGGAGCCTTAATCAGGCAACAATTTACTGAGCAACATAAGTTTGGTTTTTGTGGAATACTGCTTTGAAACAGGTATCTAGACAACAATCGTAACAATAACTGACATCTGGTATTAAAGTTATTGACCATATAGAAATTATGATGAATATAGAAGATAAAATAGAGTACTTCAATACAACAAATATAAAGAAAATACAATTTTTGGTATTATATAGAAAAATAAATAAACTGCTCATACTTCAAATCATACATTATAGAATTAAATGTTTAATTTTACATCAAAACCACAACATTATGTTTTATGTCTTTGATAAGTGGTATCCATGCAGTATTGAATAGTTGTTGGCCGTTGTTTTGGTTAATACCCACTGGTTGTCCACTGTCTTGTGCTTGGTTGACAATAGGTTTTTTGGTTTTTCTCCTTTTTTTTTATTATTTTTGCATTTTTTAAGAGTATTATATAGTCATTTTCCTGAAAGTGAAAAGCTATAGCTGATGTTTTTATAGAACAGTTTTTAATATCTCTTTGGTGTCCTTTGAACCTTATCGATAACAGAATGTTGCACTTCCTCAATGTATTATTTATTACACTCACACAGAATGTTATAAACCATGTTCTTTGTAAGAGGACTGGAAACTAGGAATTTTACCTTTGTAAGGTTGTCACACAGTGTAGGAGGACTTAGGACATCTATGGTGATGTCAAATTTATTCATTACTTGTAGTTTTTCCTCTAGGCCTGATATTCAAGGAAGAAAGGCTGTTTTCACTGTGATTGTCAGGTTGTGGTTCATTAGTAGTTGAGACAGGTGAACCACATAACATACATTGAATCATTTTTCTCCCTGAAAATGTTCTCAAAATGTTTAAGTTCTTCATCATAGGTAAAACAAGAAGTTTTAGTGTTTTAACAATCCCAGTTTTGGTAGCTATTTTATGACATTAACAAAGATTTAGATATTTATTTGTTTGAATCTCCTTCTGATAAACAATACTGGTCAACTTTTCTAAACTTGTGTCCTTATGAACCAGAACATCAAGGAATGGAAGTGTTACTGACCAAGTTCTATAGCAAATTTTATGCTGTCAAATTGGTTGTTCAGATGAGCACGAAAGGTTTTGAGTTCTTCCTCTTCATTGGTCCATAAAATAAACATTTCATCAATGTACCTTACCCACATACAAGGTTGATGAAGATATGGTGTGTTCAAAATGCTGCATGAATATTTCTGCTACTACAGATGATAAAGGTGAATCCATCGAAAGTACTGTTTAACATGTAAAATTGGCTATTCCATTGGAAATAATTTGCATTGGGAGAGATGTCCAACAAGATAATTATGTTTGGAATGCTGATGGGCATTCTTGTTGGAAGTGAGACATCACTTAATTGTTTGTGTATTATTTCCATGGTATCCCTTAGCACGTATTTTGACGAAAAGTGAAGCTACAATAAGGCTATCCATATCATCACAGGGATAATGATTAATGTCCTTTCCTAATCTAAATAATAAATCATCTACATTTTTGTAGATATTGCCACACTGTTGTTGCAAAAGGACTTTCTACTTACAAATAAGTCTACTGTGACAGACCATTGTTGCCAAAAGATATTCAGTCAAAGTTGCAGAGAACATGACAAAGGTCACCCAATGTTAAACATTTTCTTAAATGCAGAGAACCAAATGTAGATGATCCGAAAAAGGATGTAACAGAAAATCTGTTGCTATAGCAATTAATAAACCCTATGCTAATAGACCACTAATAATTTCAGAATACCACCTCATGACTGGCCAATCATAGCTGGGTATCTAGCCCTATTTGCTAGGCAAGCATTTAACTTAACTTAAATCGGGCCATAGCACAATATTTATGGAAATTCCATTATTTTAGAGTTTTTATATAAACAAAAAATTATATTGTATCAGAAAAGGCAAAAAAAACCTGAAAAATATCAAATTTTTTGTCACTGAAAGACCAATAGTCTTACTGGAAATAATAGATCTAATTTTTAGATCCTATAGCTATTTTTTTCCATCATGCAATTTATGTTTTTACACACAAACTAACTGACAAACATACTAATCCAATTATAGCAAGGCCATACCAGGTGAGACTAGACTCCAAGTTTTATGCATGGAACTTCTAATCTGCATAAAGCACTTCTAATGCATTCTAGCTCATCATCCATAGGGAAGTAGCATTTCTTTCCACAGACGCATTTCCTCTTTCATTCATGATTACCATTTAGAATGTTTCCTAAGTACTCATTGCTGAACCGCATAGCCTTTAAACAAGGCACATCGCAGTTGTGAACAACCAAACCGAAATCTATAATTACACCTCTGACATAATCAATGCCATAATTGAAGCCAAAGAAACAAACCTTAGCAAACCAACAAATCCTGACCTACAAACCTGGAAACTCACTCCCGAAATCCATTAATTAATAATTACCTGCAGCCGACCCAGACACAACTTCATACAAATCCGTCACATTACACTTAAACCACCCATTAATGCCAAGAAATTTGTATTACAGTAACAACATAACTGGAAAAACTTTTGCTATCTTTAGATAAAAAACAGTCTAAACTTTTTGCCCAATATATTGAAAGTACCTTTGTAATCTCAAATCTCACCTACTTTGACACACATTTCAACATTGTAAATCAACATATTTCTTCATCAAACTATCCAGTTTCTATACCACAAATCAGAGATAAAAGTGTCCCTTTCCTAAAAATCCTAAAAATAATTGAAGCCAAGTAAGGGGGTTCCGGCACCCAAAATCCTGCATTTTAGTACTTAAAATTCACTTAAACAAGTTACCCCATTTTTCTTACATCAATGATTATCAAATACATGTGAGAAATATCAAATCTGATTCCCCTAGTTAATGGATAATTTTCAAGAGTGCATTCTTAGGAATTCATAATTTTCACTATTGGATGTCAAAACTTATATAAAGTAATGCTTTTATAACTTACACTTAGTACTGCATATGTGTTTTTGAAATGTGTATGATTCAACTGAGGCTAAACAGTTCACACTATTGTGAAATTGAATAGATTCATTATTAAAACATTGCTAAAAATAAATCAGACATACATTTATTGTAAAATCAAACTCATTCGCTGAATGTAAACAAACCGTGCGATTGCATAAACGCTTTATCTATGGCATGGAACACCAAAATCCGATAAATAATCTTAAAAAAATGTGTTTCTCCGGAAGAAAACCGGAGGTTTTCAGGATTTTTTAGAAATATCCGGATATATCTGGAAGACTTTCATTATTATTCAATAATACAATGGTGGTTGAGTGGAGGTACGTCTATGCAATAAGATGCTTACATAACCTTTTGCCTCATTCATTTCAAGGTTCTCTGAATGAACACATTTGAAACAAGTAATACATTTTTTCAACCCCTGACAGCTGCCACATCCACAAGTGTATACTCATTAGAAAGAGCTCAGTTTGCACTATAATCTAACAATGGTTATTTTGAAATTGGCATGCAGTTGTCCTAATGGATTACATGTAATTGACTGTAGTATTGTTGGCTGCTTGATCAATTATAGTACTTACAGTTTAAATTGTATTTAGGTCTTACTATTATGTTTTAATTAATTATGTATGTTACGTTTTAAAATGC